GAAATTTACTTAAAGGTTTAGTTATATTTCTTACGTGCCTGAACTCCTGTCTCCACCTGTGTGAAAAAACCATATAGCAAGACATTATGACCTCCAGAAGGTGGGTTTTGGGGGTTTTTTTGTCTTTCTTATCTTGAGAGTCCTGGTGAACAAGAAGCTGACCACGAGCCACCAGTATGTCCTCACGGCAAAGGCAGCCAACAGCCAGCAGGGCTGCATCAGGCAGAGCAATGCCAGCAGGTCAAGGGAGGTGATCCGTCCCCTCTACTTAGCACACGTGACACACATCTGGAGTGCTGGGTCCAGTGATGGGCTCCCCAGTACGGGAGAGACATGGAGAGACCTATGGGAGAGTCCAGCAGTGGGCCTCAAAGATGATTGAGGGACTGGAGCATCTTACCTATGAGGAAAGGCTGAGAGAGCTGGGACTGTTCAGCCTGGAGAAGGGAAGATTCAGGGGGATCACGTCCACATGAATAAGCAACTGATTGTCAGAGCAAAGATGACAGAGCCAACTCTGCTCAGCAATGCCCAGTGACAGGACAAAGGGCAATGGGCACAAACAGGAAATCCCATTTAAACATCAGAAAAAACTTCACTGCTGTGAGGGTGGTCGAACAGAGAGGCTGTGGAGTCTCTGTCCTCGGAGATGTTCGAGACCTGACCGGACACGTCCCTGAGCAACCTGCTGCAGGTCACCCTGCTCTGGAGGGTCCCCCGGTCTCAGCCGTCTGTCAGTCTGGGAAGCTCTGTTCTAAGGACTGCGGGCTTGTGTTGATTTTGTGGAGGAGGGCTGTTTCCAAATACTCAGCTGTCTTTTCTGTGAACGCAAACTAAAACAGACACTTGGCTAATTCTTTGACTCCTAATACACGACACGGTCCTGCCATTAGATCGGAGCTGGCTAAAAGGCTAAACTCTAAACACACCCCACCGGGTGGACAGCCTAAAGCTGCATCCCTCTAGTGCAACGTGTGTGTTTGCGTAGCTCTCTGCTTACAGAAAAGGGGTCTGGGGCATCAACGGGGGAGACAACTGGTAAAACCTTAAGAAAATATGTGCAGATTAATGTCCTGATACACTAAGCATTTATACAGTTGTCCCTAAAAGGTGAGATTTCATCTTTTGCTTTTGATGTTTCCAATCAGGTAGGTCTCCACAATAAATGCGTCCAAACTGTCTATTTTGGCTATAGTAAAGGAGAATTTTACTCCAGTAGGTTAAAGCATTTTACTGCTGTGAGGTAAAGGGAGGGAACTGCTGTGAGGAAACTCCTCTTCACACAGCAGAAATTTGTCATAGAAAAGCAAGCCCTAAAAACATGATTTCAGTATTTAAAAACTCACCAATACATAACAATAAGAAGCCAGCCAGTCAAAAAATACATCTTTCTTTAATGTAACCCTCATGGGGAAGTACCTAAAACGGTCCACCTGTAAACGCTGGATTAGCGGAGCTTTATAAACTGTGACAAGGGATTTAGAAAACACCATGACACGCCACCGCCGCTTCCCCCCATTGATGCACAAAAGCATAAAATTCTTTGTTTATCTCTTCACTTCAAAGCACTTCCAATATGAGGCACAGTTTCAGTGTGACAACTTTGTAAAATTAAAATAGAAAAAATGTGCCAGCATCAATCTGCTTTACATTGGAAAGCACAACAGCCTTGAGACAGAAATGACGACTTATGAGAGCAAGCTATAATGAACCCAGAAGTGCTATCTGCAGTGTAGTCATCAAAGTGCTAACATTAATCACTCACAGCATCACTGGTACAGGCACAAGAGCATATAACAGGGATGTTCAGGCAGTACACTGTCCAAGGGGAGGCAAGCAAGAGAGGGGGGAAAAGACATTATTTTCCCCCCCTGTATGTTCTTTGAAAAGCAAGGCAACAGCATCTTTAGACAAGATGTGCTCTTGCATGAATTTAAGTGGAAGAGACAAAGAAACTATGCCACCAGCAGCATCGGCGAAAAAAAACTGAAAGCACCAAGCAATGAGAATTCAGTCCAGGGAATCTGAGGGGAAGAAAAAGCAAACTGGCAAGCAGAGATCAGGCAGGAAATAACTCATGTGAAAAAGGATACAGAAAATTCAGTGTTTATGTCATTTTCACAGCAGCATCACCGTGTGAAAATTCTGTTCTGAAGTTTCCGTCAGGAAGTGACAGTAAGTACTGACTTTATAATAATCTATAAAACATCAAGTGTTTTCCAAATGTTTACATGCCAGTAATTGTATCTCTTCTAATAATTGATGTTTTGTAATAATAAAAAAACAGTATTATTGTTGTTCAATTAAAATCCAAACATTCAACTTACAAAATGCTGTGAGGATGAAACTATTGTTTCTAGACTGTGTTAGGAAGCGTTCTACAAAAATAAATTACAATTTTAAGTAATTGGTATCTACCAGCTAAAGAGAAGACAAATGAGCAAGTAAAAGCTCTGATTTTACTAATACGCCCGATTTTAGTACCTGCAGAAGTTGGATAGATGCCAAAATGTGTCTAATAAGTTTATTTGGTAGCAAACTCAATTCCTTTATATTGTGGCTGTATCAAAAAAGGTGCACTTACCACATGATTAGAAAGGCAGCATCTACCCAGATCAGTCATATCTAAGGCTCATTGTAATGAAAATGAACATGCATTTTTTTCTTCCCACTTCCCAGTAAGTATAATCGAAAAGCCTCGAGCAACAATTTTCATACATAGACAGTCACAGAATTCTCACTAGTAATGTAATATAACAATCAAGATCCCACTAAAATAATACGTATTTTGCCAGCCTCCTATCTAGTATAAAATACAGTAAAAGTATTACAGAATAATTTCAGAATAGGTTATAAGCAATAGTTATGAGCTTTCTTAATTGGGAAAATTTTCAATAGTAAATTGTAATTTAGCCAGGAGACTTAACATCTGAAACCTGATCATTAAAAAAAAAAAAAAAAGTGATTTTTATAATGAAGTCATAAAAAATGAAATACAGTGTTACTGTCATGGGAATTTATGTTCATAAAAAAAAGCAAGAAACTTTCACAGTGGAAAAAACTTTCACACGAGTGCCACTAGAAACTGAGTATTAAACTACAAGAGAATCAGATTAAATTGCCAAGGTAGGCTCTTTTGAAAAAGTTACCCTCACAATTGTAAAATAAAAAAACCCCCACCCAACAAACGAAAATATGCACTGGCTGTTATTAAGGTTTGTTTTGTTATAAAATAACAATTTTAATTAAAAGTCTACCAAGGCAGAAGTCAACTTTTTGTTCTGAGAGGAAGATATTCTTTAACAGAAACATTTAGAAAATTGCAGAAAATAGATGTTTTCCTTACACTATTTACAGTGCTAACACAAACTCAGAATCTCAAAACATTGGCAGGTTTTCTAATGTTAATTTCATTATGAGGAGGACTATTAGTTCAGGGCAGACAGACTACGGAATTACATACAGTCACGCAGCACAGAAAAGAGTATTAGTTGTTTTTTTAAAAGCCATTATTTATCCAAAGGGTATGCTATAGCGAAAGCTGGACTTCACCAACTAAGCCTAGCTTGAGAAAGCTTTTCCAAGAGGCTAACTAGCATCAAGACTAAATATTGTGATACTGATGCCACCAATGTACAGTCATCACAGCCGCTGCTCTAGCAGTGGCTACGGGTGTGCTAACTCACCAGCAAAAAACGGGGAGTATCGGCGAGTAAGAAGCTAATGTAAAATGATATTGGAGACAAAATAATATCTGGTGATGTTTCCACGTACTGTTCTGTTTTTCAATTGACTGTGACAGGCAAAAATCAAGACTTGTGGATGGCCAGAGGAATTTATCCCTCAAGATCCCCTCCTGCCACCCCTCACTTGCCACTTAACGTAAGAAAATTCACTGCTCACAAAAGCAAGCTTTGAGATTACAGAAAACACCAAGTAAGTAAAACAAAATGCAAGATACTCAGACTAGAGAGGAAGCAAATGCTGCATTTCTTTCCTTTAAACAACAAACAAATCCAAACCCCACTTATCAACATACTCATTAGGCAAGTATTTTGTGTGACAGGTAAAGAGGTAATTAGTTGGACGGTCAATCTGTCAGCCTTTAGTTTAATGCCAAACCAGACAGCGGTTCAATTCAGTTTAGATTTCAATGACTTTTTTTAATGACAGTTTGACTCATAACATAAGATTATGTTAAATATTAAGCTTTTTTTCCTATTAGAAATGTTTGTTCTATTAAAAAGAATACTCCAGCATTGCTCCAAAGGAGAGAGACATTTATTAATGCATCTGTTTAAACTTCTGATCATTTGTTTCTCCCTGTGGGAGGGGTATATATTTCAGAAGTACAAAGTGTATTCACCTTTCCCCTTTATAGTCTTTAAGAGGTTTTGTTTCCCTTTATGTTACCTAACCACAAATTCCTTAAGCAAAAATATCCAGTGACCTTATTCTAGGGACTGTCCCAAATACGTAGGCAGCGTGTATACCAAAGTTGACATAGAGGCAAATTTTGAACGGGATGCTGAGGGCCAGCATCTCCTCATTCCCTGTCGCAAGCGCACAGTCATCTGAAAAAAAAAAAACCTGTGAATGGAAGTGGTTCCCCAACTGCAAATTGTGCAAAACACACCGTCTCTCACGGAGACAAGATACAACTGATCACCCGGACAGGCAGCAGCTCCGGTTGAATTTCCATAAGCATGTATCTAGCCTTTCACTTGGGAAAAAAGTACACAGTTTAAAATACTCCAAACTTTATGAACTGCCAACTCTCACTTTGACGCAGCAGTACCAACAATAAGAGCACAGTTTCCTAATAAACTCCTTTCCTAAATTACAGAGCACTACGATTAAGATCCACACGACATTTGCAGTGCTGCAACTTCTCAGTTACCTCCCTGGGAAACTAACATCTCCCCGTTCCACAGCAAGATCAGCCATCGGGAGAGAAAAAAAAACCTACCTAACAAAAAACCTACCTAAGCAACAACCCGATGGGAATAACCGTCCAAAACATCACAGGAAACACGGCAATGGTAATTTGGCCAAAAATGGCCAGTTGTGCCGACAGCTTTTACAGCGTCATGTACCACCCTAACCGGAACAGCATGCTATCGAGTTACTCGAGAAAGAGCTTTCAGAAGGAAGAGAGAGTGCCCACCAGTCGCTCCTCCTTTATTGTTGAAAACCTAACTCCACTGACAACATACATCGTGTGCGTGACCTGCCAGTCCGCAAACCCCTCCAGTGACCAGTGCAGAGTTTTTAACACGCTGGAACGAGACCCAGCATCCGCAAGCAACACCAAGAAAGAGCTGGCGCTGGGCATCTGGCTCGTCAGCAGCGTCCTGCTCCTCATTATCGCCGCAATCCTCCTCTACGGCTGCCTGCACCTCCTGTGCCGCAGGAGACGCGAGAGTTTGCAAGGGCGAAACGGGACCTCCGAACAAGATCACGGGAAGGCATGGACCAAAAGCGTGGCATACGCCTCGGCGGAGCTCGGCGGGCAGAGCCGACTGATGCAGGACGCCGAGGAAAAGCATCCGGGTGGCATTCAGCTGGCCACAATCATAGAGAATCCCTCAGCGTGCAAGGACCCCGTCACACTGACTTCCAAAAGCCGGGAACAAGTGCCAACGACAGGACAGTGCTCTGCTATAAATTAGAAACCTTTTGTCAGGGAGGAGATTTTTACTACATACGACATCCCAACTGCTTCAAACGCATTGCGTGCTTTGTCACCGTTCACGACAGGGAGCTCCAACTGCTCAGCGCACTGCTCCCAGCTGTACCTCCGGTGTCACGTCCCTTCCCAGCAGCCCATATGCAGTCAGAGGTACTCAGAGGCAAAGGTTCAGATACCCAAGGAGTGAGCACTTCAGCCGCACTCTGTTATTTAAAAATGAAGCATGTAGCAAAATAATCGGTTTACATTTTGAGGGGATTTTTTAGTTGCTTTTCTTTAGTCTAAAACAGCAAACAAATATAAAAATGAATCAAAAGTGACCAAGATTTTTTTTTTTTTTTTTACACTAGCACAAAATTAAAGCTGAGTAGAAGTTTTCTGATGGTAACACAGACTGCTACGCTACAGGCAACTGGAACATACACCCTGAGCGCAGTGGTTTGCCAGTGTGAGTTTTATGCCTGCAATCCCGACTGCTTCTCAAACTACACACTCCAAACTACTACAGTCAGAGTACGCACTTCGCTGACCATGGTGCTCTCCATAGCTCCCATCTGAATGAGGTCAGTCTCAGCACGTAAGCTAAACTCACCAGGATTTTAATGGTATACTTTTGCCTGTCTTTGAAATTTCCCCTCGGTCTAAAAACATAGGCAAGATAGCGCCTCTGTAAGAACACTTCTAATGAAACTATGGAAATATCCTGGGCTATCGTATTTTGCACTCTTCTGTATCCACCACAAGCTACCTTCTGCTTCACGGGCAAGTGACTCCCTGTAGAGGAAACAGAGTTCAGAGAAGCAACTCCTGGCCCTTCCTTCTCTCTTTTCCCTTTCAGTTTTAATGATAAAACTCATTCACCAACTGCAAATTTCTATCCAACCACAGAGTACATTTTGTGTAGCCAAGGGGCAAGGAAGTAAAAACATGCCAAAACACATTTTATTTTTGTAACAGTCAAATCTGCTGATTATCTCACTCTGCCTTGAACTTCACGGCAAAGTGCCAAGAAAGGCCCTTTGGACAGAAATCTGTTCACCCTCACAACATAACGCGTCTTGCCTGGCTTATGTGTATGTCACCCTGTTTTAAATCTCTTCAGTGCATTTGTGTTCCATAAGAACATAATAAATCTTAGTATTGCTGTATAATACGGTATTTCTAAAAAAAAAACGAAGATACACTGTGACTGCAGGTATTTTAAACTGCTATTGACACGAACGTATGCGCAAAGTCAGCTCTTGTTGACACAGCTCAGTTGGACCAGTAAAGGCTGGAGAACTGCTGGCTGGGCAGCTGCCATCCCTTTCCACCGCACCCTGGAAGCCAAGGTGGTGTACAGTTTTGGCAAGAGAGCGCCCGCCGAGTATTTCACAGCAGGCAGCGGGTCTTTTCAGCTACCGTATTTTGACAACATTTCCCACAACTTGTGAAAGACGTCAACTCTCATATTGCCGGGAAGACACGAGCTGGCATAAGTTTGATGCGTCGTCTTTACTTTTTTCTGCTAGGATAGGTACGACACACAGAAACTTGCGCTGAATGGTGGCGAGTATTACTTTTAGAAAACATTTGAAAAGGCGTCTTTATTGTGTTAAGTTAGCAATAACATGTTTTCCAACCCTACATGGCATTTCCTCCAGCTGACACATGTTTTTCTTTGTCTTACACACCAGTCTTAAATAAACTGTGAAGATGACAACAGTTTACTGCTGTTTCAAATGAAGGTGTTTCATGAAACAGACACTGAAAAGCTCGCTTTGGAGCATGAAGCCAACACTACAGGTTTACTGCCAAAAAGGGGCAGCTGGGTAGCGGGGACAGAAAAAAAATGCTTTAAAATGATCTTGTAATCAAATTAACGGTAACACTTCTCTGACTAGGATTTCATCAGAGAGAAAAGATTATTTTAATGTTAAAGGGATGGAGCCAAGAGACATATATTCTCATCTCTGCCAACATCTTGGGCCCTTAAAAGCCTGTTTACTTCTCTGCATCTCTGTTTCTTTATGTGGGTTTTAAGGCAGTCCAATACATATATTTACATGCATTTATGTTATACACACATGTGTATACCATACTGAGAACAAGGAGCAGTTCAGTCTTAAAGCAGTTTTGAGGCAATTCACCTACTGAATTTTGTTATTTATATACAAACACATATATACAAAAATACATGTGTATATATCAGATTGAGAAGGCAAGGAGCTACCATGGAAGTGCTCCCAGGAATGGGACTTATCTCATCAAAATATAAAACTATTCCACCCAAGGAGTTTACTGTGCACTACTTAGACAAACATTTATATCACCTCACACGCAACGGACCACCTCGCACCCGCTGCAAATAAGCAATGCATAAGGAGTGTCATCTGACTTCTGCACCAGTTTTGAAGAACTCATGTCACCACGCACTCACAGAGCTACGAGTCTTTGTCTCTTGCTCAGAAAGTTTTATTACAGATTCGTTCAGGTTCATTCTGGCAATTCGGTGTTTTGGTAGTTCACTGTGCAGTTTTAACAGTGATCTTGTAAGGGGCAAACATTCCAAGTGATTACCAAACTGATAACAAGATGCAACATAGTGCAAACTGACGTTAAATTGTGCACCAGCAGTAGATAAACACATTACATTCACGTTGAGAAGTATTTTCCAAAGGGGTCTTTTTTCACAAAGCAAATGACTTAGCATCTACAAAATGCAGAAGACATACACACATGAAGACCTTTGGAAAATGTTGTATAAGCCAGAAAGGAAGCTCTTAAATTCTGGTCTACACAACCTCTATAAAACCAGGTACTTCATTAATGTGCAAAGTTAGTTTCAAATCCCCAGAAGAGATTCTTTTTTATATGTACATTATTATTTTATGCATTCAGCCCATGTTGCCAAATTTCAATCTGCTAACATTCATTTCATTAATCCTACACACACTTCATCTGAGTGAAAGGATTTCAACGACCATGCCCAATGAGCTTTTAAAATACTCCAGCTCACATAAAACGCTGACGAGCTTTTGCAGGTCGGCTCTTTCCCACCTGACAGCTCTGCTCCCGTGTCAGCCAGGAGAAGTCAGTTGTATCTGTCGATTTCTGTTTTGCTAATTAGATGAAGATACCACTTAGAAAACTTTAGATGCAACAGAGAATGTGGACACAACTGTCTATGCTAAGCATCAATACACATTAATATAGGCCAAATGCTTAGATCCATTTGGAAATATCTACAAATATGTGAACACTTTGAGATCAAAACTAAGAATTTCTTTAATTACTCTTAATCAAGCACATTGCTCGTGCAAAGCTTCTGCACAGAAAGTGTTTTTAGTCATTACAATCCAATACATGCACGTATGAGTGTACATATGCACAAGAAACCACAATGCTCTTGTCTTGACCTAAAAAAACACCATGGATTGCTAAAAAAAAACCCCCAAAAAAACAAAACCAACCAACAAAGTCCAATAAGGAAAATAAAAAGTCATATTCCTTGGCTATATGATCAATACGAAGTGCTCACCTGACTACCCTGAGTAGCTCAAGAACTCAAAAAAGACAATAAAATAAAAAATACCTAGCTACTCCATACTGCACTATTATCCAGTCAGGAGGCAGTTCAAGAATATAACTGTTAAAGGACCCAAACAAGGATGTGCTCTGTGACAAGCCTGGCTATATATTACACAGAATAATATCATGTAATTATATCACACGCTAGAATGTGTAGCCTCTATCACATAAGAATTACTATCTGTAACTTGCTGTATACAGTAGAAATGTCCTCCTGAAACTCCATTCAGATATCCTCAATTCCAGAATACATTAGATTCAAGAATAAAAATATACTTTTGTAGAAATTTAAAACTACAGAGAGTCAGGAATATTTGCTAATAAAAGCATATCTAGTTATGAAACTTGCTCCAGAAATGCATCTAAGAACCTCCTCGATTGCTCCTGCTCATATAGAAAAATAATCAGATTTCTGAAAATGTGTATCTCTCAGAGTAAAGATTACTAAACTAATTTTAATAATGTAACCTGACTGATAAACAAAGGTTCCCCAGTTAATCCTCTGTCACTCACCCCACTGTATCATCACTTAGATAAATTAAGTTAGCAATCTCTGCTAAATTCAGTGGGGTTTTTGCTCTTTACGCTGCATCTGGTGAATTCCTAAAATAGTAAGGAACACAATAACTCTAATGTAAGAAAATCCCACTTTCCTATAATTTACTGTTCCCTGTTGGAGAGGAATTATATAAAACACTATTCACAGTACCAGGCAATCAGCTGTTAAATTCCATATTAAAGACGTGAATCCTTTTTTACATTTTAAAAGCATGAAAGTTTTACAAATGCAGCAGATATATTAGGACTGAAATTTGTAACTTCTGAGCTATTTCTTCAGCTCTCAAAAACTAGCTTGCTGGGCAAATCACAGAGATTGCACCGTATAACTGGGATATGATCTACAGAAAATAAGAGTAAGACAAGGACTAATTACGCTCATGTTTAAGTAGGAGCTAGAAGATAATGAAAGTAGCTAGACATGAAAATGACACAGCGCACTTGTATAAATCACAAGGATAATTGAGTACATAATTTTAAAACCTTTTTTTAGTCAACAATCCTCTAATTTGATCCTTATGTTTTTATTGATCTTTTCCGTACTTTCATTTTGCCTCCCTGATATTCAAGAAAACAATGCAACATTAAGAGTGACATCTTGTTAAGTATTCTCAAATGATTTGCTGAAGATACCACTGCTGGTTTTTACTGCTATTGGAAGTAGATCAATATTTCTGACTGGATATTAAACATGCAGATATACGTTAATGTGCTATGCCTTTAACTGTCATCAAGACCCAGGTAATAATTCTGAAGCGTAAGAAAACAAATCTGCAGCGATCAGAGAGAATAAATCTATGCCTCCAACATACAATACTGCAATTGGTCCTGTGAATACAGGCTAACTTTCCT